AAGCTGACATTCTTACTGTTAAGACCTATCTTCATGACAAGTTCACTATCAAGGATCTTGGGTATACTAAGTACTTCCTTGGTCTCGAAATTGCTAGGTCTTCTCAGGGTACTTACATTTATCAAAGGAAGTATGCATTAGACATTCTTAAAAATGCAGGGCTCTTTGGTGCTAAGCCTACTTTTACCCCTCTACTTAAAGAGTTCAAGTTTACTACTACTAAGAATGAATTACTTGCTGATCATGATAAGCATCACAGGTTGGTTGGTCGACTAATTTATCTTGGTTTTACTCACCTAGACCTTGCTTATGTTGTTCAACAACTTAGTCAGTATGTTCAACAACCTTGTAATAATCATTGGGCAGCTACTGTGCATGTTCTTCGATACTTGAAACACTGTCCTTCCAAAAGTTTATTTTTCCCTACACATAATTCTTTTAACTTGGAAGCCTTTTGTGATGCAGATTGGGCTTCATGTCCAAATACTAGGAAATCTCTTACTGGTTATTGTGTGTATCTTGGTTCTTCCTTAATTTCTTGGAAAACTAAGAAACAAACTACTGTTTCCAGGTCCTCTGCTAAAGTTGCGTATCGTAGCCTTACTTCCACTATATGTGAATTGCAATGGATTTCCTATATTCCCAAAGACTTTCATATTCCTCTGCACCTTCCTATTCCTTTATGGTGTGATAACCAAGTTGCTCTTCACATCACAACCAACCTTGTCTTTCATGAACGCACAAAACATCTTGAAATTGATTGTCATGTGGTTCGTAATCAATACAAGGCTAGTTTTGTACTTCCTCAACATATTTCTTCCAAGCTTCAAGTTGTTGATATTTTTACTAAGTCCTTGGCTGGTCCCTTGTTGCATCAGTTTGTTTCCAAGTTGGGCTTGCATGATTTTCATCAGGCTCCAACTTGAGGTGGGGATGTACAAATTAAATATTTTATTTATTGTTTTAATATTAGTTAGTCAGTTAAGCCGAAATGGTTAAATAGCTCCAGCTGAGTTGTAAAACAGCATTTTGTTTGTTAGTTAGATTAGGATTAGCTAGCAGTAAGTAGCTATTTTTTCTTGTATAAAAGGATGTACTATGTTTTTCTTCATTAATTAAATAAGAACTCACTTTACCAAATTGCATTTTACTTTGTTCATCAATTCCTTAAGTTCCTAGATTCAAACATTAGGACCACTTACCACAATAACATTGTGACTTACCTAGTCTTTTGGGCTTGTAGGGTGTTCAATGGACCTCGAAAAATAATTGAGGTGTACGCAAGCTGGCTCAGACACCCTGGTTACCAAAAAAAAAAAAAATCTTTTTCCAATATTAGAAGAGGTTTATGATAAATTTTGTGGGAGTTTGACAAGACATTTGTGATAATTTTAAAATGAAATTAATAACAATTTTTTCGATTTTTAAATATTTGTGAATATGATAATTTTTTTGATAACTGTGTGTCCAAACCAGTTTGTGCGTATCTCAACTAATCCTTATGGTCTATTGAACATCCGTCAGTTTGCACATACCTCAATTAATCATTGATCTATTGAACATTCGTTAGTTTGTGCATACCTTAATTAATCTTCGAGGTCTATTGAACATTCGTCAGTTTTCGCATAACTTAACTAATCTTCGAGGTTTATTGAACATTCACCAGTTTGCGCGTATCTTAAATAATCTTTGGGGTCTATTGAGCTTTCACATGGTTACTTTGTATAACTCGAACACAATATCTTTGGGTAACCCAGAGTCTTATTATCTAGTTATAATTTTAGTAATTAATTCAATCCCCTTTTTCATGTTGAAATTTAGGTCAATAGTCAATTATGAGTTGGGTTGGTGGGCAGTGGGCTCTAGATAACTACTCCCTCCGTTTCTATATACGTGTCGTTTTAAGTTTTTACACTGTTTTTAATGAATCAAAAATTGTACAGAGAATTGACTTTTTTCCTCATATTGAAGGTGGGAAAATTTTGTTTTTCCCACTGCAACACGTGTGTGAAATATTAAAATAAAGATAGAAATTGTGAAAGAGAGGAGATGAGGGGAAGAGATAGATAAAGAGAGAGAGAGAGAGGAGTGTGGGGCAGGGTAGAGAAAAAGGTGGAGAGAGGAAATGAGGGGCAGGTTGGAGAATGAAGATGTGGATTAGAAAACATTGAAAAAAGAGAACGTCATTTATTTTGAAAAAAATTATTACCCTCAAAACGACGTTTATTTTGAAACCGAGGGAGTAATTAATTAGAGGCCACCGATTTAATTTTAACATTTATGGTAGGTTTTATAAGTCGTAATTTTTATTTATGCAAGGAATCAATTAATAAATGAAACTTCAAACAATACAAATAGTTAACTTGAAAAGGGTATGGTTTTTTCTATATACTATATAGTATTTTCTCAATATTTTTCTAAAAAAAAATAAATTTTCATTTATTTATGTCAAACTTAAAAAAAAAAAATCCATGAAAATTAAACAAATACAAAAAAAATCCAAAAAAAAAAAAAAAAAAAGGGGAAAACAAGTCATGAATCATGTAAAGCAAGTAGACAACAAACTTATTCAATCTTAAAAATAGATAAACCTCGAGGACAACATGTGATTAAAACTACAATAAAGTCAAATGGAAAATAATAATTGTTTCTTGTAGCGTATAAGATTATATAGACAAAGATTTCAAGGATTTGCGCGCTGATTAAAAAATTGTATGATTGAGTGAAGTTAAAATTGTAGTCTTAACACTTTTTGAAGCTTAAGGTGAAGGCCCATAACCAAAAGAGGAGCCGCCTGATTGACTCGCTCAAGACCAACACTTTTATTTAACCAAAACGTCAACAAATTAATCATTCACAACCTACCCTTAAAAGCGACCTCCCTTTTTTTTCAGACTTTTTGCTTTTTGTACCTCACCGACATCGTTTTTATACTTTGTTTTCTTTTTATATATATATATATATATAAGATGACTCTACATTTAATCTTCGATAGAACTTGAGATAGGACTATGTGTCGCCAACTCGTTTGTACAAGATCGTTACAAAATAACTTACATCTATTGTACACTAGTTTTCCTTTTTTCGTTCATAAAAATACTAGGTAAAACTAATAGAAAGAACTAACTATAGGTGATAAGTTTTTGGGCAATGTGTTCTTCAAGTGATGATCTTTTTTTTTTTATGATAAAGAAAGACAACAAATTCGTAGGCGATGAGATTTTAGCCTTCTCACGTTGTTGATTTCAACTTCAATTTATTTTTGTATTTTTTTGTTGATCAAACTTTCATTTATGAATGATAACTATTTTGATCATGTACTTTCATGCTAGCCGTTAGGCATGCACAAAGTTCATTCTAACCATAAATTTAGTTCAATTTCCTTCAATAATAGACAATTCAATTTCTTCTATAAGTGTCGAGGCCAAATTATGTAACTAATTCCTATAAGTATTTAGCACATCCACATTCTATAATAGACATTTTTCTTTACTTATTATTATTATTTAAAAAAAAAAACTATAATAAAATAAACCTTATTCAATCCCCATTTCCTCACTCAACCCAAATTCAAACTTATCAATACGTCAAACTCAAATATTATTATTTAATTGAGTATTGAAATAGTTCATCATATTTGAATTGAAGAACAACCTAAGATTTTTTTAATAACATTCAAATGTCAACCATCAATATTTTTATTGCTCTTTTACCTAAAATCAACTTTGTAGTAATTCAACCAACACGATGACTTTGTAAATATTTATTATTTATATTATACTATTTATAATTTGATAGTTTTCAACAAAATTTATCAACCAAATCTTATCTTCCGTAAACTTAAGTACAAATCAAATATCAAAAGTGAATTCAAATTTAAGCTCTATATGCATTTAAATTATTTATTTTATGCGAAATTTTTTAATTAATTTTTATTTAAATATAACCATTTAATATGTTATATAAAAATTAAAAAAATATTATTTATCTTAAAAACCATTAATGATTACAACAAAAGGTGAAAATGGGTTAACGTGAGTGAATTAACAGTAGAAGGTCAAACATGTCGGTGGAGTTGTGTCAGGCTTTTAATGTACGAAACAATCAAAGTCAATTCTCTGACGAAAGCCCAAGTAACGGCCCACCCATTTTATATTTTATTCTCCTTTTTCAATTTGTTTTTCTTATCAATCTCTTTTTTCTTTTTCCACGTATTTATATTTCTTATTTTTATTTATACAATAATCTTTTTTTAAATCATTTAATTTTTTAATGACAAAACCCATTAAAAAATTATTTTTTTATTATTTTAGTACACTAATCCAAACAAAATTTACAATTTTTTTTTTTTTTTTTGCATTAAAAAGTGTTTGATCTAATTTATACGTATCTCAATTAATTTTTCGAAATCACGAAATCAACGATCAAATAAATTTTTAGTTATTATCCTTTATTAGTAGTCATAAGGATTCAAACTCAAGATTCTTCAGTAATATACTCAAAATCTATTTTATATTTTTAAGAACAATAACTCAGGATTTTAATTTTAAAAAATGTATATTTATTTTGTTTAAAATGGTAAATTTTTATTTTTAAATAAAACAGTAAAATCAATGCGATAATAATTTTAATTTTAATTTAATAATTAATAATTTGATTAGCAGTAGAATCAAAAGCAACGGAGATTTGTTTTTATAGTCTTTCTTCTTCTAAATTCTAAACAACACCAAACGATACTGTTTCTCTGACAAAGACTCAGTGTCTTCCGCGGCTTTATATTCTCAGATCACCAACGCGTTATCATGATGTCTTTATTTTAATATCTCCAATTCCAACCCATCCATCCTCCACCTTCCTTCTTCCTTCTCCCATCCATTCACTCTTTTCTTTTTTCTTTCTTGCGTTTTTTATAGCTCCGTTGTGACTCAAACACTCGTGGGTTGGTTTTGTTTTTTTCTTTCTCAGTAAAGATAGTTTCTTTTTTTCTTTTTTCATTTTTCTTTTTCTTTTTTTTACTGGTTTGGATCTGTTACTGAATGTGGGGGTCTGTGTTTTGACACGGAGAAGTTTGATTTGGGTCATAGATGTTAGTTGGGTTCTTGTTTTGATGAGTTAAGAAGAAAAATGGGATCTGCAAATGAGTTTTTTTCTACTGGAGAGTTTAGTTTAGACCCCAAGTGGTTGGTTGATGGTAAGCAGCTTTTTGTTGGTCCAAAGATCGGAGAGGGAGCTCATGCTAAAGTTTACGAGGGAAAGTAAGTCATTGTTGTGTTCTCTACGAATTTCGCTTCTTTGATTTAGAGACTGAATTGAATTCAGTTTGTGAAGTTTTTTTTTTTTAATTACTATTATTTATTTTTTTATATGCTAGTTGGGTTCTTTCTGGAGATTATCCCAATCTTTGACTTTATGAACTCTTGTTTGTGTTTTCAGATATAAGAATCAGAATGTTGCTATTAAAATCGTTAATAGAGGAGATAGCCCCGAAGAAATTGCCAAGAGAGAAGCTAGGTTTGCAAGAGAGGTTGCAATGTTGTCTAGAGTACAACATAAGAATTTAGTGAAGGTTTGTTGATTAGCCTATAGGTGAAATTTATGATTTGATTTTCATTGAAAGATATTCGCCATCAACGGTTATTGAGACTGGATTTCATATGAAAATCATTGAATCATATTACCGATAACTAAGATGGTGACAATTCTGTGTTGCCAGTTTATAGGTGCTTGCAAGGAGCCTGTGATGGTCATAGTAACCGAGCTCCTATTGGGTGGGACATTGCGTAAATATTTGCTTAACCTGCGGCCGAGGTGCTTGGACATGCGTGTGGCAATTAGTTTTTCCCTTGATATTGCCCGTGCCATGGAATGCTTACACTCTCATGGAATCATTCATCGTGACCTGAAACCTGGTATGATTTTGTTAACAATTGTTTTAATTTGATAGTTAACCATATTTAGCTTGAATGGGCAGTGACAGTCCTGCTGCAGTTTGATGGACAGCCGGCCTGGTGCTAAGTTTGTGAAATTTGGAGTATTTTTTGGTATATGTTTAGTGGCCATCTTAATCAAACTCATGAAACTATAAGAAAAATATAAATGCTTGGTCACAAGCAGATTGTATCAGTCTGTGCTCTGCCTTTGTATTTTTCTTTTATTCTGAGGCTGATGTAGGGATCTAATAAGTGGTGTGTAACCCTTGAGAAACATTCAACTTGAGTTCCTAGTCTCAGCATGTATGTTTGTCCCTTTGGATGTTCAATGTTGTTGTAATATGACTCCAAAACTGCTGGTGTGTATCTTATTTGTAGCATGATTACTCGCTTTCCATGTTGATAGGTAAACAAATTGGATATTTTTCTTGTTTATTTGCTTTTTTATGGATTTTCTTTTCCTGATTTTCTGGGACTACCCACCTATGACAAAAATATGTGAAAGTTAAACTGTGTCAGAACATTCCTTCCTCATGTTCCAGAATTTGGTGGGAATAATAGATTACTTCTGCTCCATTACTCTGTATCTGCCCTAAAGACTTCCCTATCCCCTACTGTTCTCTGCTTGCTTGTTCATTTTTTGCCAAGGAACAATTACTACTTTTATTGCACCCAATAATGTAAGACCAAATTCACAAGTGAGAAATGGAGATTTTGGTATTTTAGGGACTGGGTTGTGTCTTTTATTAAACATTCTTATGACATGAAGTTTAACTATCTCATTAGCATCAGCATATAGCCTGAAACTTTTGTCTTACACAAAACATTTGTTGAATATTTATCGGGTAGTTTTGGATTATTGAAAATCTATCCTGTAGTTTCTCTTAGTTCTTGTTTCCTGGGTTAGTTCTAAATCTCATCCTTTGATTTCTCCAGCTGGTTCTGATAAAGGCTTCCTGCTTCTGATTTATTCCAAACATGCTATTTTTTATAATCTCCCAAATCTAGTGCAGCAACTCTTGAATATATATATATATATTTTTTTTTTTAAATTATCTTGTTCCATAAATCTATGATCTTGAAATTCATTTTAATTGACATAGTATTAACAGTATCATAGTCCTAAGTGAAATTTGTTGAAAGAAGAAGTAGGTGCTTCTTCTAGGATATTAACTACTAAGCATAATTCTTATGACTTTGTTTGCTTCTTTTCCCAGAGAACTTGATCTTGACAGCAGACCACAGAACCGTAAAACTTGCAGATTTTGGTTTAGCCAGAGAAGAGTCATTAACGGAGATGATGACTGCTGAAACGGGGACGTATCGGTGGATGGCTCCGGAGGTACTTTGCTATATTTTTCAGATCTTGATCAACTGAAGGAGATGTTCCATATTAAAATATTGATTCACCTTTGGTGACAGCTTTACAGCACAGTCACATTAAGACGCGGAGAGAAAAAGCACTACAATCACAAGGTGGACATATACAGCTTTGGGATTGTGTTGTGGGAGCTTATCCATAATAAGTTACCATTTGAAGGCATGTCAAATCTACAAGCAGCATATGCAGCTGCTTTTAAGGTAATTTTATTTGGCCGCCTTGTTATATAATGAAGATGGGATGGATTTTTTGAGGGTGTTTTTTCTCTGTTAGTGTTGAAAAGGCACCCTTTTTGAAATGTCCCAGATGCTTGCTTAATTCCAGAACAGCTGCAGACAGCCCCTTCCCTGCCATTTAATTGAGTTACACGGAAACATTTGACACACTCAAAATTAATAGATACCAAAGAGACATCACATGTTGAAGGGCTGGAACTTGTCGGCACAAACATTACTGACGGGTACTCCTTGAGAAAAGTGTTGAACCTTGACGGCCATTATCAAGTCCTTCTAGATTTGATCTTGACCTCCTTTAAAAGGAAGCCACTTGTTAAATGGGCAGCCATGTCCAGAGAGGCAGAGATACAAGGGGTGGCAGGGATGGACCTTGTGGCCCTCATGAAGGACTTCGAATTAGCTGCTCAAAATTGCTAAAGTAGATGAAACCAATCGCTAAAGATTCATGAAGAGTGAAATTGTTTCCATTTCACATTAAAGTACTGTATTGTGTAGGATATTGATTTGACGAGGCCCATGCATGTCCTTTTGGTTTTATCTAAAGTTGGTTGAGTGAATATCTCTCTCTCATCTGACAGTCGGTTGGATGATCAGGACATTTGTAGGGGTCTCCAATCGTGCTGTTCAACATGGCATTAAATGGCTGATAACTCTTTATCTTCTCATAGTTCATTATATCTCAGCCATACTTCCAGCTTCTTTTTGGGCTTCACGATGTGATATTTTACTTTGTTGTTTCAGAATGTGAGGCCCAGTGCTGAGGATCTCCCTGAAGATTTAGCTTTGATCGTGACTTCTTGCTGGAAAGAGGATCCCAATGCACGACCTAACTTCACCCAAATAATCCAGATGCTCCTGCACTATCTCTCTACAAATTCGCCATCAGAGCCTGTTGTTCCTCATCGGACATTTTCTTCTGAGAACACTGTACTACCACCAGAGTCTCCTGGGACAAGCTCTCTAATGGCTGTAAGAGATGACTCAGGTTCAGCCCCAAACACCAGAACGGAAGACAAGCCAAGAGGTTTCTTCTTCTGCTTTAACCAATGTTACTGATCCTTCCAACGGCACAAATTTGTCATTGGATGTATCCCATGTTATTTTAGGAAGCAGATCAATAAACTATATCCTCAAATATAAAAGAATACATCAAGATTACAAAATAAGAAAAGAAAAAAAAAAAGAAATCAAATCTTTTGAGATCAGCCAGTTCAGTGGCCATAGGAGCTTTGTAGCATCTGATGTCTCTATTATAACTTCGTTTTTTCGGTTATATTACAATGCTCTGACCCAGATGCTCCATCAAGAAAATTGGAGTTGAGGTTGCTGTGATGTATTATGATTGTAAAATAAGGTCATCCAAAGGCTTCTACTCCTGTTTAATTTTTTTGTTTATCCTATGAGAATGTGTGTAGTCCAAACCACTGAACCAGGACAGAGAGCAACTTTGATTTGACCAAATGATTTGAGTTTGTCACTACATTGTCACTTAGTAATGTTATTTTAATTAAAAAAAAAAAAAAAACCCATTTTATATTCCCAACAAAAGTACAGTTTCCTTGTTTTACGACTATTTGGTCCCAGAAAATTGTAACAGCAGTGGCAGGCACTATTTCTCGTTACAGCTCCCATTTATAAGTTGTACACAGCAAGCCAAAGGCAAAAACATCCATCTATTTTACTTTTTACATAATCCATCAACATCCACAAGTGAAAGAGGAAAAATCTAATAGTAACGTCAATGACTCAATATGAATACATAGAAGAGTAAACGACTTTACCCACCCAAGGTTTCATAAATGCCAGATTCCCACCCTTAAATTAACACTTTAGTTTTCTCTCAAAATAATTCTTATATCTCAAATTTCTCTCAAATAACCCCCACAAGAGATCTTGGCCCAGCAAAAAATCCGGCTTGATTTCGGCACCGTTGGACCTCTCCAACACCACCCTCAGCATCCATTTATCCTCCTCACAAAAACCCCTAATTTTTTCACCCAATTTCACCTCGGCCGGAATTTGGTTGGAAAGGCGTGACAACATGCGAAAACCTAAGGGAGAGGCGGTGGCAATCAGCGAGCAATTGTGATTGACGATGTTGAGGGTTTTGGTGGGGGAAGCCGGTGATATTATTGGTGGTGTCGGGGTGGTTTCTGGTGCCGAGACCTGTCGGAATTTGGATGAAACGCGCCACTGAAACTAAGAGCGGTGGCCAGCAATTGGGGGATTCAATCAAGCAGAAAGGTTAGGGGTTTTGATGTGCGGGTTGAGGGGATTGTAATGGTGGTGTTGGAAAGGGTTGACTGTGTTGGGAACAGGCCAGAATGACCTGAAATCGCCAATAAGATGAGTTTGAGAAGTGAAATGTTATTTTAAAATTTATCGTTTTTGAAATGATCATTTTACCCTTTTAACAGTTAGATTAAACAGTTTTTTATTAATTTAAAAGTGAAAATCTAGATTTTATAAACCATAGTGGGAACATACAGATTAGCCAAATCTTCGGTGGAAAAATGTCGTTTACTCTATATAAAAAGTGATAATTGAGCAACTCTTCAAGGAAAGTCTGCGGTAATTACAGAGCCATACAAAGTGTGAGATTACAGGGAAATTACGGGGTCTACTCAAGCCGCGTAAGTTTACAGTGATCTCAATCTAACGGCTAACAAGAATGGAAAGTGGAGACGATTCTATACAAACGTCAATTATTAATTATTGTTGGAAAAAGTGGGAATTTCACAAGATTAAACTCTACTGTTGTTTCCAAATTAAGCTTGGAGGGCACGGAAGCTTCATGTCCCTACTGCAATCTGGTTATACGGATTTACGAAAATACCACTGACCCGGTCTTCGAGGTTGCCAAGTGCTTCACTTTCTAAAGACAGGATTTAGGTTCGTGTCCGAACAGGCAGCTTCGGACTTAGGTTCAGTCAACGTTTGGGACCCACAAAAGACGTTAGATTTGCCTCGTCTGTCTGAAATGCTTCTATCCGAAGCTGGGGTTCGGTTTACAAGCCTCTCATAAGAGGACCGAAACTGAGTTTTCCCGCTCACTTACACTCTCTCTTAACCTTGGAGAGTCACACACTGTTCAGTTAACTTAGTCGAGTGGAGAAAAGTGAAACCTTCCTGTAAACTTGTTAAGCAATTTACTGTCTCTCTCTCTCTCTCTCTCTCTCGCTCTCTGTTTCTTAATCTTTGTTGTTTCTTAGACATGTCAAGGTAAGATTGAAATCGAGGATGAGTCTGTGTCTCTGTGATATGATTATACTGAGAACTGAGCTGAGTCTCTCTTCAAGATTTTATTTTTTTATGAAAGAAAAATCATTTTTTATTGTTGTTTGAAGATGATTGGAGAAACCCCTTGAATAGATTTTTTTTTTTTTTTTTTCTTCTTGTTTTGAGATTTTTGTTCTGGGTGGCTGGGTTTGATAAAAATGTTGCTTTTCTTTTTTCTTTTTATGTGTATGAACTGACTCAGTTACAAATTTATTGATAAATATGTTTTGGATTCAATTTCTGGTGTTTATTTGACAAACCCTTTCCAACTTTTTTGTTAAAAAGAAAAGAAGGAACTTCTGGGTACCCTGTTTATTTGACAACCGTACGCTGCCATAAGTAAATTGACAATAAAGGGAGTTTGTAGGAGATGAATATTGGAGTAAACTTTGATGTAGGATTTCTTTTTGAAGAATGAAGCTCATTCGTGGTTTAATGGATGATTATTACCTTGGTATTTTAGTAACAAAATAGCTGCAAAGATCAATGAGTATTAGATGATTAAATAATTTCCTGTTAATCAAGTTGGATTTGCAACTCCCCAATAGAATGCAGTGAATAGAAGTGATGGTGTCTCTTGATCTATGCCAAACAAGTCTCAAATACATGGCAGCCGAAATAAAACCGGCATGGTCCAATAAGTTCAGCAGGCTATTCTTAGATTCAATTGATGTTTGTTTTATGTTGTTCTTCAGCATACTTGAACTCTTTGCTTATAATTTTGTCCTTTTTTTTTATCCTTTCTTTTTTATTCTTGGCTGCTTGTGGTTTATAATTAGAGTAATCTTACACTTACACAAAGATCTCTACACAAAAGAGTGAATATAATGAGTTTCTCCTCAGATTTTGCCTCTTCACTTTATATGAAAATCATTGTAAGATTTCTTTGAAAGTATAGTATTAACCTTGAGATTATGGCATGTGTTTGTTGCAGGAGTTGGATAGTTAACAGTAGAGCAATTGCAAAGAAAGTGAGAAATGCCACTCGATCATCTTCTCAACTAATCAAAGACTGTGGAGCAAATCGAGAATGCCCAAATTGCCATTATTGCATTGATAACAGTGATGTATGTTGGAACATTTGTCTTTGTTTGCACAATTAGCTTACTAAATTTTTTAGATTTGTTCATGTCATCATAGAGAATGTATTTACTCCAAAATTATTTATATCAATTTGTTGTTTTCCTGCTCATTTGAGTAATTAATCACACAACAGTTTGTCCTTGTACAGGTCTCTCAAGAATGGCCTGGCTTACCGGTTGGTGTGAAGTTTGATCCATCTGATGTAGAGCTTGTACAACATTTAGCTGCAAAATGTGGTGTTGGAGACTCGAAGCCTCACATGTTTATTGATGAGTTTATTCCAACACTTGAGGGGGACCAAGGAATTTGTTATACCCATCCAGAAAATCTTCCAGGTGAGGATCTTCCGAGCTTACAGTTTTATTTGATTATTTCGACCGTGCTTCCTTTTGATGATTATTTCAACAACATGAAGTCAATGAACCAATAAGATGATTCTCTCTAAAAGAAAAATAGCTGAATGATAGTAAATTCTCTAAATTGAAAGTTATGAAGGCTGCTGCATAGGAACCCCTGCTCTTTACTCCACCCATGTACACGAGGGCTCTGAATCATTTGAACGTCGGTTACATTTGGTTATTGTCAGGTTCTTTTGGTGTTACCTGTGTCCTCTAGGCTGGACTTAACGAACTTAATTTGCCTGCTTTTGCCAAGTAAATCAGATTTATTGTTTATTGTCCAGTTATTCTATGCCAATTCATGATCACACTGAATTTTATTTTGGTTTGACAAATTGGACCAAATGGATCCAAGCATGTGAAATTGCAAGTCTATAAACTATTAAAATGACAATGTCTGAATTTGTTGCAGGTGCTAAGAAAGATGGAAGCAGTGTCCATTTCTTTCACAGAACAATGAATGCTTATTCTACTGGTCAAAGGAAGCGTCGTAAGATCCACAATCAACATAGTTTAACTGAAGATCATGCGCGCTGGCACAAAACTGGTAAAACCAAAGCTGTGATACAAAATGGAGTGCAGAAGGGCTGCAAGAAAATCATGGTTCTTTATAAGAGCTCAAAGAAGGGCAGCAAACCAGATAAGGCCAATTGGGTCATGCAGCAGTACCATCTGGGGACTGACGAAGATGAAAAGGATGGTGAATATGTGGTTTCTAAAATTTACTATCAGCAGCCGAAACAAAACGAAAAGGCTGAAGATTGTCCAGTTATTGAAGATTCGGACAATTTGGCACTTGAAACTAGTCCAAGGACCCCAAATACAAATCCTCCCATTCCTCCGCGGCCAGAGAAATCTTTAACATGTGATAATGCTGCTGATGGTAATATACTAACATCACCTGTAAAGGTAGGTAGTTATCTTTGTAAAATTCTCACGTGAAATATTACAACAGCTCGTATACAGGAATTGAGATTTTAGTTTGTAGGTTGCCATTTGCATTAATTTATAAAAAATCTTGTTTGTGAAATGAATTGCTAAAGCTTTCATTGGATGTTTATCATTATCATGTAAGGTTAGCCTTCATTTTTTCTGATAATGAGCCAATGACAGTTCATAACATTTCTACATTTTGATTGCTATCACTACTGTGATTTTTTCTTTTCAAAAACTTGTTTCTAAATGATGCAACGTGATATACCATGAATTGGCAATAAACTCATTTCAATTATCCACACAATTTAAGTTCATGTCATTTGGGATTGATAAAAACAGAACATATATGATTTGATTTCAAGTTTGTTTACTAGATGCTTTATTCATTTTGGTCCTTAATGTAGTTGAATTTTGTGGATTAGGCACCAGAGCATATTGTAGAAGCATCGTCTGCCCCTTTACCTTCTGCTGTTAAGCCTGAGGACCATCTAGGGAGCATAACATGGTTGGCGGGTGAATCTCAGGATGTTGACTATCCTGATTTGAATTCCATTGAAGAATCTTTGTTATGCAAGGAAGAAAACATTTCTTCTGCTCTCTTAGAGAATTCAGGAATTAATAATGTCTCATACACCGATCTTTGGTACGACACAAATAACATGAAAGGGAACAACAGTGCACCCTGTGGAATTTCTGATCTCGAGAACCTAGAACTGGATACTCCGCCAGATTTTCAGCTCGTAAGTTTACCCTCTTTCATCAATGTCTATAACTTACCGGCATTGTCATTTAGTACTATTTTCTCTGACCTCCTTATTTATGTCATGAAGGATCTACAGACGTTTTCTGGGGAGAGTATTCTTGATTGGTTAGACCGTTTCTGAAGAACTAATATGCAAGCCCTGACAATAGATTTCGAAGTTATGTTTTCCCGGCCCTGGCTGAAGTTGTTTTCTTCACTAACATTTTCTTCAGCGGCAAAGAATCAATTGCTCTTTTCGAGGGAGTTCTCTATACAGTTCATGAATCCAAGGACTCCACAAAGCTTGCGGCAGATGAAGCTATGGAGTAGTTGCTTTAGCTTTCTTGCATTATTGATCATTCCTAGAGTTTGATTTGAGCAGAAATGTTCCTGGTGGCTTTTGTGTAGTAGCATCAGTTGCAGCATATGTAATGTATGTTAATGCACCAGTGAGGTGCTCAGATTCAGAGATCATTTTATTGTGTTGATAAACTACGTAAACATTATAAAAACTTAATGCTTTGTTACTGACACATAAAATATTTGGTGTTCCACTTAGTGATTGTTAACTGATGATGACCATTTAAAAATTAAACAATGCAATATAATGATCTTAAACAAATGGACTATACCCTTAGGGTCTATTTGGTTAAGTGAATGTTGGATTATTGGGAATATTGAATTACTAGAAAGTTAAATTATCTTGAAGATTATTGAGAATCTTTAAAAAAATGTGTTTGGTTAGTTGAAATAAATTGGTGGATATGTTATATTAATATGTTTAGTTGAAAGGAATAAATTAGTAGATATATTATTTAAATTACTAAATTGTCATCTTTTTAAATATTAATATAATATTATTTTTATTATTAATTTTTGAATAATTTTTTTAACCCCCAACATTTAAGATTTAGCTAAAATACCCCGTTTATATAAAACTTTAATTTATAACAAAATCACCCCCACCACCCGAAGCCACTGCTTGCCACCGTCAGCCGTTGCCGGAAGTCGTCGAAAATCACCTAGAGTGATCGTGAGTAATCCACCATCATCGGGAGGCTCCGATATGGCCGTTTTTAGCCATATTGATGGTAAAAAAGGCCATATCAGGAGCAGATCTGGTTGTTAATGGCCAGACTCATGGCCTTTATCGGCCATATCTGAATAAGATATGGCCGTTAACGGCTAGATCTATTCTGGCCGGAATAGATTTGGTCGTTAACAACTATATCTTATCCAGATATGACCGATAAAGACCATTAACGGCCAGACCCATCGATTTGGCTAGAAATGGCCAGAATTGATCTGGCCAGAATTGATCTGGCCAGATCAAGTATGATATGGTCGGAAACGACCATATTGGAGCCTCTCGGTCATTTTTAGCGACTCCGGCGACTTTCCAACGGCGGTTGGCAGTGGTTGGCCCGCTATCGGTGGTGGTGGTTTGTAATTTGTTTTAAATATAAGGGCATTATTGTCCAAAAACTTAATTAAACAAGGGTAAAATTGTAATGGTGGATTAATGTAAATTGATTTTAAAACAAGGGCATTATTGTCCAAAATTTTTATTAATAAGAGATAAAATTGTAACAAAAATAAGATTACTTTGATAATCTTACAATACCTAAGAAAATTAAGCTAATCAGATTACCTCCAATATTACCAACGATAACTACTATTGGTATTGAAAGATTACCGGAATCTAAGGCACAATACCAAACGTGGTAATCAAAATAATATAAGATGACATAACCCCAGTAATCTGATATACCCCCCAACCAAACGCCCCCTTAGAAGATAGAATCAACATGAGTTCTGAAAGTATTCTTCTGCCTAATATGTGCCTTTTTTTTTTTTTTTTTTTTTTTTGAGTATTTAATTTTTGTTATACGTTGAGAGATTATGTACAAAATATTTCAATGAGTAATTTTTTATGAAAAAATTATATAAAAGTATTTTCATACATAACTGGTTAATTATGGTTATATTTAGTAATTTAATAGTGTAAAAGATTTTTTTTTTTTTTCTATCAAAATAATGGCCTAATACAAATTCTCATCTATAAAGTTTCAAAATATATATTACCGAAAACACGATTCCATTAATAATTTCGTTGTGAGAAGGGGAGAATGGTCAAAAGTCTTTATAAGTAAGGATAGAATAGTCAATTAATTGATTTCGTTTTCTCTTTTTTTCCTTGCCCTAACCAAATGTTTTCTTTCTTCAACTGATTTTTCCGTTTTAAGAAACCGTCAGCCTTCCCCGGTCACCACCACAAGAACCCCTAGCGTCCCACCATCAAAACCCCACCCTTTTCCCCTTATTCGTCCAGCCACTGATTTGTGCAACTATCCTTGTTGATTTTTGATCGATTTGGGCGAAAACAACTCCTTCCACCACCACCCTATGACTCATTTGCACCTCCCCTTCCAAAACCCTTATCCTCTTCGCCCATGGCAACCCATTGTTGTTGTTTGCTGCTCATAAGGGTTTTTTTTTTTTTTTTTGTGTGTTTGTTGAAATTGTTGTTGTGTGTGGTTTGTTGTTTAAATTGAATTGAGGTTGGTTTGTTTAGTTAATTGAAGTGTTTTTGCTATTGTTTTTTGCCGAAAAATCCCATCCAATCACCACCGATCACCTCCCTTTTAGCTTGCTCACCACCTGATTGTTGTTTTTCCCAACCAACCTTGGGGTGAGTGGAGGCTACGAACAGTGGTAATCGGCGCCAAGGTTGTTAGGGGTTTTAGAGAGAAGGTGTCAGTGGTTTAAAAGTAGTGTTAGGAGGGATTTCGGTGTCGAGAATAGCCAAAAAAGCTTGAAACGTGCAAGGAAAACCCAAGGGTAATGGAGATCGAGGTGCTGACCAAGTTGATGTTCCCAAATATTCCCAAGATCCTTTGCAAGGAATTGGCGGTCCAATGACGAGGGCAAAGACAAAGAGGATGAGAGAGGTTTTGCAAGGCTTGATCATGGAAGTGCAATACAAAGAGGCTGTACTAGAAGACTCTAAGACTAAATTCGAAGATTTTAAAGCACCAAGGATGATCTATTATCTTTTTATGTAAGGGTAGATTTGGAAGATCAGTGGAAGCGAGGATTAATTGGAGACTTATTTCGTTTCTTTATCTTGGGTTTTTTTTTTATGTTTTAATTATCATTAATTCTTTAGTCTTTTATTTATTTAAGGTTTATTTAGGCCCAATTTGTTTTTCTTAAGCCCAACCCGTTTTTTTCAATTACGGTTTTTTTTTAGGGTTTGCTGGTTATAAAAAGGGGCGCCATGTTATTTTTGGGGGACAGATTATTATCAATTGAAGTTTATTTCAGAAGCTATTTGCTTTGCCATCTTGTGTTCTTGATTGAATGCTTGAATCTCGACTTATCAAAGGATGATCACCCTTGTGGCATCTCAAGATTAGGGCTTTAAGGACTTAGTTTCCTTAGGTTCTAATTCGATCATCCTCACACGTTCCTACAAACAACTTGTTCCTATCTACATTTGGCATCAAAGCTTTGGTTGCTGAAACAAGTTATTTATCTCCAACACTCTTTGTTTGCGTTCTTGATTCAAAAAAAAAAAAAAAAAAAATTAAATTTTCTTGTGATTTATTTTTCTGTGTTCAATCCATCTTTGTTCTACAAAAGAAAAAAAAAACGAAAAAAAAAAAAAAAGAACGAAGTGGCAATTTTGAGTTGTTAAATTTCCCATTCTTGTTCTCTTTGGTAAGTATCATATTTTTGTTGAATTAAATTTTCAATTCTTGTTTTCTTTCTTGAGTTTCTTATTCTTGTTGAATAAGTTTCCTTTATTCTGTTCTGGTTTCCCTTTATTTTATTTTATTTTTATTTATTTTTTTTGTTCTACTGATTGTTTCAACTATATACAAGGTTCTTTTGTGTCTTTTGCCTTCTTAATCAATTAGTGTCAATTCTAGTGATTTCTTTCACATGTCTTTTGCTTCCTTTTAGAGTTTTCTTTTTTTTTTTTCTTCGTTCTTTAGAGTCATCTTGGGTCTTTTTTTTCTGTTCACCATTTGCCTCAACTAAGTTTTTAAAGTTCTGATTTTTGAGATTGTCACCATCTAACTGGTTGCTCTTGAGATTTGTGAATTCTTTGATTCTGTTAAGAACATAAAGGGGGTTGGCTTGGCTTTGAGTGGTAAAAGGCAAGAGAGATCATTATCAAGAAAAAGCCAAAATAGTGTGAAACACGAGTGATAACAATATGATTTGAGTGCAAACACGTGAAAGAGTGTGTGAGGAACAAACCTTTTAGTTTATTTAATTTTACAGGTTGAAACCATGAGTAAGGAAAGAGGAGAACCACAAGAGGTTGACATGAAATTCTTCATCAAGGCTGTTAATGACCAATTTAAATTGCTGAATGCGAGATTGAATGATTTGAAGTCCTTTTTCGGTTCTAAATCACATAGAAGACGTGAGTTCGAAGAAGAAGACGAAGCTGATTCCGAAGTGGAGAGAACAGGTTATAAATGGACCAAGAAGGTTGACTCCAAAGGAGATAACAATATAGGCAGTATAAAGATGGCAATTCCGACTTTTCAAGGAAAGAATGATCCTGAGCTATACTTGAAGTGGGAAAGAAAGGTTGAGCACGTATCTGATTGTCATAATTACTCCAAGGAGAAGAAAGTAAAGCTAGAAGCTGTGGAGTTTACAGATTATGCAGGTATATGGTGGGATCAATCGGCGATCGATAGGCGCAGGAATGGTGAGAGGCCAATTCGGTCATGGGAAGAGATGAAGTTGGTGATGCGCAAGAGATTTATACCAAGCCATTACTATAGAGATTTGTATAGGAAGTTGCAAGGGTTGGTTCAAGTTTCCATGAGTGTAGAGGTTTATTATAAGGAGGTAGAAATCGCCATGATTAGAGCAAACATAGAAGAAGACAGAGAAGCAACAATGGCTAGATTCATTGCCGGATTGAACAAGGAGATTGCTGATGTGGTTGAGTTGCAACATTACGTAGAGATGGAGGAGCTACTGCACAAAGCCGTTAAAGTGGAGAAGCAAATCAAGTCCAAGAGGTTTAGATCTGGTTCTTCCTCTATCTCTCCGTCGAGATCAAATTGGAAGGACAACAAAGTTGCCTTCAGAACAAAAGAAGAAGCAAAGTCGAAGAATTCAGTTGTTGTTCTAACCTTTCTACGATTTTGATTGCTATCAATACTGTGATTTTTTTTTCAAAAACTTGTTTCTAAATGATGCAACGTGATATACCATGAATTGGCAATAAACTCATTTCAATATCCACACAATTTAAGTTCATGTCATTTGGGATTGATAAAAACAGAACATATATGATTTGATTTGAGTTTGTTACTAGATGCTTTATTCATTTTGGTCCTTAATGTAGTTGAATTTTGTGGATTAGGCACCAGAGCATATTGTAGAAGCATCGTCTGCCCCTTTACCTCTGCTGTTAAGCCTGAGGACCATCTAGGGAGCATAACATGGTTGGCGGGTGAATCTCAGGATGTTGACTATCCTGATTTGAATTCCATTGAAGAATCTTGTGTATGCAAGGAAGAAAACATTTCTTCTGCTCTCTTAGAGAATTCAGGAATTAATAATGTCTCATACACCGATCTTTGGTAGACACAAATAACATGAAAGGGAACAACAGTGCACCCTGTGGAATTTCTGATCTCGAGAACCTAGAACTGGATACTCCGCCAGATTTTCAGCTCGTAAGTTTACCCTCTTTCATCAATGTCTATACTTACCGGCATTGTCATTTAGTACTATTTTCTCTGACCTCCTTATTTATTCATGAAGGACTACAGACGTTTTCTGGGGAGAGTATTCTTGATTGGTTAGACCGTTTCTGAAGAACTAATATGCAAGCCCTGACAATAGATTTGAAGTATGTTTTCCGGCCTGGCTGAAGTTGTTTTCTCACTAACATTTTCTCAGCGGCAAAGAATCAATTGCTCGTTTCGAGGGAGTTCTCTATACAGTTCATGAACCAAGGACTCCACAAAGCTTGCGGCAGAGAAGCTGTGGAGTAGGTGCTTTAGCTTTCTTGCATTATTGATCATTCCTAGAGTTTGATTGAGCAGAAATGTTCCTAGTGGCTTTGTGTAGTAGCATCAGTTGCAGCATATGTAATGTATGTTAATGCACCAGTGAGGTGCTCAGATTCAGAGATCATTTTATTGTGTTGATAAACTACGACAATTATAAAAACTTATGCTTTGTTAGACACATAAAATATTGGTGTTCACTTAGTGATTGTTAACTGATGATGACCATTTAAAAATTAAACAATGCAATATATGATCTTAAACAAATGGACTATACCTAGGGTCTATTTGGTAGTGAATGTTGGATTTTGGGAATATGTGAGATACTGAAAGTTAAATTACCTTGAAGATATTGAGAATCTTTAAAAAATGTGTTTGGTTAGTTGAAATAAATTGGTGGATATGTTATATTAATATAGTTTGGTTGAAAGGAATAAATTAGTAGATATATTATTTAAATTATAAATTGTCTTTTTTAAATATTAATATAATATTATTTATTATTAATTTTTATAATTTTTTAACCCCAACATTTAAGATTTAGCTAAAAACCCGTTATATAAAACTTAATTTATAACAAAATCACCCCCACCACCCAAGCCACTGCTTGCCACCGTCAGCGTTGGGAAGTCTCGAAAATCACCTAGATGATCGTGAGTAATCCACCATCATCAGGAGGCTCCATATGGCCGTTTTTAGCCATATTATGGTTAAAAAGGCCATATCGGAGCAAATTGGTTGATTAATGGCCAGACTCATGGCCTTTATGGCCATATCTGAATAAGATATGGCCGTTAACGGCCAATCTATTCTGGCCGGAATAGATTTGGTCGTTAACAACTAATCTTATCCAATATGACGATAAAGACCATTAACGGCAGACCCATCGATTTGGCTAGAAATTGCGAGAAATTTGATCTGCCGAAATGATCTGGCAGATCAAGTATGATTGATATTCGGAAAACGACCATTTGGAGCCTCTCGGCTATTTTTAGCACTCCGGCGACTTTCACGGGGTTGGCAGTGGTTGGCCGCTATGGTGGTGGTGGTTTGTAATTTGTTTAAATAGAAGGGCATTATTGTCCAAAAACTTAATTAAACAAGGGTAAAATTGTAATGGTGGATTAATGTAAATGATTTTAAAACAAGGGCATTATTGTCCGAAAATTTTTATTAATAGAGATAAAATTGTAACAAAAATAAGATTACTTTGATAATCTACAATACCTAAGAAAATTAGGTAATCAGATTACCTCCAATATTACCAACGATAACTACTATTGGTATTGAAAGATTACCGGAATCTATATTGACAAACCAAACGTGGTAATCAAAATATAAGATGACATAACCCCAGTAATCTGATATACCCCCCAACCAACGCCCCTTAGAAGATAGAATCAACATGAGTTCTGAAGTATTCTTCTGCCTAATATGTGCCTTTTTTTTTTTTTTTTTTTTTTTTAGTATTTAATTTTTGTATAGTTGAGAGATTATGTACAAAATATTTCAATGAGTAATTTTTATGAAAAAAAAATATATGAAAAGTATTTTATACATAACTGTGTTAATTAGGTTATATTTAGTAATTTAATAGAGAAAGACTTTTTTTTTTTTTTATCAAAATAATGGCCTAATACAAATTCTATCTATAAAGTTTCAAATATAACTTATTACCAAAACACATTCCATTAATAAATTTCATTGTGAAGAAGGGTGAATGGTCAAAAGTCGTTATAAGTAAGGATAGAATAGTCAATTAACATTGATTCGTTTCTTTTTTTCTTTTTTCCTTGCCCTAACCACATGTTTTCTTTCAACTGATTTTTCCGTTTTAAGAAAACGTCACCTTCCCTCACCACCACAAGAAGCCCCTGCGTCCCACCATCAAAACCCCACCCTTTCCCCTCATCGTAGCCACTGATTTGGAACTATCCTTTGTTGATTTTGGTGATTTGGGCGAAAAAAAACTCCTTCCACCACCACCCTATGACGCATTTGCACTCCCCTTCCAAAACCCTATCCTCTTCGGCCATGCAACCCATTGTTTGTTGTTGCTGCTCAATCTAGGGTTTTTTTTTTTTTTTTTGTTTTGTTGAAATTGTTTGTGGGGTTGGTGTTTGTTTAAATTGAAGTTGAGGTTGGTTTGTTTAGTTAATTGAAGTGTTTTTGCTATTGTTTTTTGCCGAAAAATCCCATCCAATCACCACGATCACGCTTCCCTTTTAGCTTGCCACCACCTGATTGTTGTTTTTTCCCAACCAACCTTGGGGTGAGTGGAGGCTAGGAACAGTGAGTAATCGGCGCCAAGGTTGTTGGGGTTTTAGAGAGAAGGTGTCAGTGGTTTAAAAGTAGTGTTAGGAGGGATTTTGGTGTCGAGAAGAAAGCCAGAAAAAGCTTGAAACGTGCCACGGAAAACCCAAGCGTAATGGAGATCGAGGTTGCTGACCAAGTTGATGTCCAAATATTCCCAAGATCTTTGCAAGGAATTGGCGGTCCAATGACGAGGGCAAAGACAAGAGGATGAGAGAGGTTTTGCAAGGCTTGATCATGGAAGTGCAATACAAGAGGCTGTACAGAAGACTCTAAGACTAAATTCGAAGATTTTAAAGCACCAAGGATGATCTATTATCTTTTTATGTAAAGGGTAGATTGGAAGATCAAGTGGAAGCGAGGATTAATTTAGGACTAATTTTCGTTTCTTTAATCTTGGGTTTTTTTTTTATGTTTAATTATCATAGATTCTTTAGTCTTTTATTTATTTAAGGTTTATTTAGGCCCAATTTGTTTTTACTTAAGCCCAACCTTTTTTCAATTAGCTAGGGTTTTTTTTAGGGTTTGTGGTTATAAAAAGGGGCAGCATGTTATTTTTGGGGGACAGATTATTATCAATTGAAGTTTATTTCAGAAAGCTATTTGCTTTGCCATCTTGTGTTCTTGATTGAATGCTTGAATCTCGACTTATCAAAGGAGTGATCAACCTTTGTGGCATCTCAAGATTAGGGCTTTAAGGACTTAGTTTCCTTAGAGTTCTAATTCGATCATCCTCAACACGTTCCTAGCAAAACAACTTGTTCCTATCTATCATTGGCATCAAAGTTTGGTTGCTGGAAAAAGTTATTTATCTCCAACACTCTTTGTTTGCGTTCTTGATCTTCTTGTTTTGAGATTTTTGTTCTGGGTGGCTGGGTTTGATAAAAATGTTGCTTTTCTTTTTTCTTTTTATGTGTATGAACTGACTCAGTTACAAATTTATTGATAAATATGTTTTGGATTCAATTTCTGGTGTTTATTTGACAAACCCTTTCCAACTTTTTTGTTAAAAAGAAAAGAAAGAACTTCTGGGTACCCTGTTTATTTGACAACCGTACGGTGCCATAAGTAAATTGACAATAAAGGGAGTTTGTAGGAGATGAATATTGGAGTAAACTTTGATGTAGGATTTCTTTTTGAAGAATGAAGCTCATTCGTGGTTTAATGGATGATTATTACCTTGGTATTTTAGTAACAAAATAGCTGCAAAGATCAATGAGTATTAGATGATTAAATAATTTCCTGTTAATCAAGTTGGATTTGCAACTCCCCAATAGAATGCAGTGAATAGAAGTGATGGTGTCTCTTGATCTATGCCAAACAAGTCTCAAATACATGGCAGCCGAAATAAAACCGGCATGGTCCAATAAGTTCAGCAGGCTATTCTTAGATTCAATTGATGTTTGTTTTATGTTGTTCTTCAGCATACTTGAACTCTTTGCTTATAATTTTGTCCTTTTTTTTTATCCTTTCTTTTTTATTCTTGGCTGCTTGTGGTTTATAATTAGAGTAATCTTACACTTACACAAAGATCTCTACACAAAAGAGTGAATATAATGAGTTTCTCCTCAGATTTTGCCTCTTCACTTTATATGAAAATCATTGTAAGATTTCTTTGAAAGTATAGTATTAACCTTGAGATTATGGCATGTGTTTGTTGCAGGAGTTGGATAGTTAACAGTAGAGCAATTGCAAAGAAAGTGAGAAATGCCACTCGATCATCTTCTCAACTAATCAAAGACTGTGGAGCAAATCGAGAATGCCCAAATTGCCATTATTGCATTGATAACAGTGATGTATGTTGGAACATTTGTCTTTGTTTGCACAATTAGCTTACTAAATTTTTTAGATTTGTTCATGTCATCATAGAGAATGTATTTACTCCAAAATTATTTATATCAATTTGTTGTTTTCCTGCTCATTTGAGTAATTAATCACACAACAGTTTGTCCTTGTACAGGTCTCTCAAGAATGGCCTGGCTTACCGGTTGGTGTGAAGTTTGATCCATCTGATGTAGAGCTTGTACAACATTTAGCTGCAAAATGTGGTGTTGGAGACTCGAAGCCTCACATGTTTATTGATGAGTTTATTCCAACACTTGAGGGGGACCAAGGAATTTGTTATACCCATCCAGAAAATCTTCCAGGTGAGGATCTTCCGAGCTTACAGTTTTATTTGATTATTTCGACCGTGCTTCCTTTTGATGATTATTTCAACAACATGAAGTCAATGAACCAATAAGATGATTCTCTCTAAAAGAAAAATAGCTGAATGATAGTAAATTCTCTAAATTGAAAGTTATGAAGGCTGCTGCATAGGAACCCCTGCTCTTTACTCCACCCATGTACACGAGGGCTCTGAATCATTTGAACGTCGGTTACATTTGGTTATTGTCAGGTTCTTTTGGTGTTACCTGTGTCCTCTAGGCTGGACTTAACGAACTTAATTTGCCTGCTTTTGCCAAGTAAATCAGATTTATTGTTTATTGTCCAGTTATTCTATGCCAATTCATGATCACACTGAATTTTATTTTGGTTTGACAAATTGGACCAAATGGATCCAAGCATGTGAAATTGCAAGTCTATAAACTATTAAAATGACAATGTCTGAATTTGTTGCAGGTGCTAAGAAAGATGGAAGCAGTGTCCATTTCTTTCACAGAACAATGAATGCTTATTCTACTGGTCAAAGGAAGCGTCGTAAGATCCACAATCAACATAGTTTAACTGAAGATCATGCGCGCTGGCACAAAACTGGTAAAACCAAAGCTGTGATACAAAATGGAGTGCAGAAGGGCTGCAAGAAAATCATGGTTCTTTATAAGAGCTCAAAGAAGGGCAGCAAACCAGATAAGGCCAATTGGGTCATGCAGCAGTACCATCTGGGGACTGACGAAGATGAAAAGGATGGTGAATATGTGGTTTCTAAAATTTACTATCAGCAGCCGAAACAAAACGAAAAGGCTGAAGATTGTCCAGTTATTGAAGATTCGGACAATTTGGCACTTGAAACTAGTCCAAGGACCCCAAATACAAATCCTCCCATTCCTCCGCGGCCAGAGAAATCTTTAACATGTGATAATGCTGCTGATGGTAATATACTAACATCACCTGTAAAGGTAGGTAGTTATCTTTGTAAAATTCTCACGTGAAATATTACAACAGCTCGTATACAGGAATTGAGATTTTAGTTTGTAGGTTGCCATTTGCATTAATTTATAAAAAATCTTGTTTGTGAAATGAATTGCTAAAGCTTTCATTGGATGTTTATCATTATCATGTAAGGTTAGCCTTCATTTTTTCTGATAATGAGCCAATGACAGTTCATAACATTTCTACATTTTGATTGCTATCACTACTGTGATTTTTTCTTTTCAAAAACTTGTTTCTAAATGATGCAACGTGATATACCATGAATTGGCAATAAACTCATTTCAATTATCCACACAATTTAAGTTCATGTCATTTGGGATTGATAAAAACAGAACATATATGATTTGATTTCAAGTTTGTTTACTAGATGCTTTATTCATTTTGGTCCTTAATGTAGTTGAATTTTGTGGATTAGGCACCAGAGCATATTGTAGAAGCATCGTCTGCCCCTTTACCTTCTGCTGTTAAGCCTGAGGACCATCTAGGGAGCATAACATGGTTGGCGGGTGAATCTCAGGATGTTGACTATCCTGATTTGAATTCCATTGAAGAATCTTTGTTATGCAAGGAAGAAAACATTTCTTCTGCTCTCTTAGAGAATTCAGGAATTAATAATGTCTCATACACCGATCTTTGGTACGACACAAATAACATGAAAGGGAACAACAGTGCACCCTGTGGAATTTCTGATCTCGAGAACCTAGAACTGGATACTCCGCCAGATTTTCAGCTCGTAAGTTTACCCTCTTTCATCAATGTCTATAACTTACCGGCATTGTCATTTAGTACTATTTTCTCTGACCTCCTTATTTATGTCATGAAGGATCTACAGACGTTTTCTGGGGAGAGTATTCTTGATTGGTTAGACCGTTTCTGAAGAACTAATATGCAAGCCCTGACAATAGATTTCGAAGTTATGTTTTCCCGGCCCTGGCTGAAGTTGTTTTCTTCACTAACATTTTCTTCAGCGGCAAAGAATCAATTGCTCTTTTCGAGGGAGTTCTCTATACAGTTCATGAATCCAAGGACTCCACAAAGCTTGCGGCAGATGAAGCTGTGGAGTAGTTGCTTTAGCTTTCTGGCATTATTGATCATTCCTAGAGTTTGATTTGAGCAGAAATGTTCCTAGTGGCTTTTGTGTAGTAGCATCAGTTGCAGCATATGTAATGTATGTTAATGCACCAGTGAGGTGCTCAGATTCAGAGATCATTTTATTGTGTTGATAAACTACATGAACATTATAAAAACTTATGCTTTGTTACTGACACATAAAATATTTGGTGTTCCACTTAGTGATTGTTAACTAATGATGACCATTTAAAAATTAAACAATGCAATATAATGATCTTAAACAAATGGACTATACCTTTAGGGTGCGTTTGATTCAGTGAATGTTAGATTATTGAGAATATTGGAGTACTGGAAAGTTAAATTACCTTGAAGATTATTAGGAATCTTTAGGAAAATGTATTTGATTAGTTGAAATAAATTGGTGAGTATGTTATATTAATATATTTGGTTGGAAGGGATAAATTAATAGGTATGATATTTAAATTATTAAATTGTCCTCTTTTTAAATATTAATATAATATTATTTTTATTATTAATTTTTAAATAATTTTTCTAACCCTCAACATTTAAGATTTAGCTAAAACACCCCGTTAATATAAAACTTTAATTTATCACAAAATCACCCCCACCACCCAAAGCCACTGCTTGCCACTGCCAGTCATTGTTGGAAGTCATCGAAAGTCACCTAGATTGATCGTGAGTAGTCCACCATCATCAGGAGGCTCCAATATGGCCGTTTTTAGCCATATTAATGGTCAAAAAGGCCATATCGGGAGCATATTTGGTTGATAATGGCCAGACTCATGGCCTTTATTGGCCATATCTGAATAAGATATGGCCGTTAACGGCCAAATCTATTCTGGCCGAAATAGATTTGGTCGTTAACAGCTATATCTTATTCAAATATGGCCGATAAAGGCCATTAACAGTCAGACCCATCGATTTGGCTAGAAATTGCTAGAATTAATTTGGCCATTTTCGATCAGATCTAGTCTGATATGACCATTTTCAGCCATCAATATGGCCGAAAACGGCCATATTGGAGCCTCTCGGCTATTTTTAGCAACTCCGGCGACTTTCTAGCGTTGGTTGGCAATGGTTGGCCCGCTATTGGTAGTGGTGGTTTGTAATTTGTTTTAAATAGAAGGGCATTATTGTCCAAAAACTTAATTAAACAAGGATAAAATTGTAATGGTGGATTAATGTAAACTGATTTTAAAACAAGGGCATTATTGTCCGAAATTTTTATTAATAAGTGATAAAATTGTAACAAAAATAAGATTACTTTGATAATCTCACAATACCTAAGAAAATTAAGGTAATCAGATTACCTCCAATATTACCAACAGTAACTACTATTGGTATTGAAAGATTACCGGAATCTTATATTATTTGACAACCAAACGTGGTAATCAAAATAATGTAAGATGACATAACCCCAGTAATCTGATATACCCCCCAACCAAACGCCCCCTTAGAAGATAGAATCAACATGAGTTCTGAAAGTATTCTTCTGCCTAATATATGCCCTTTTTTTTTTTTTTTTTTTTTAAGTATTTAATTTTGTTATATGTTGAGAGATTATGTACAAAATATTGTCAATGAGTAATTTTTTTATGAAAAAAAAAAATATGAAAAGTATTTTCATACATAACTGTGTTAATTAGGTTATATTAGTAATTTAATAGAGCAAAAGACTTTTTTTCTTTTCTATCAAAATAATGGCTATAACAAATTTCATCTATAAAGTTTCAAAATATAACTTATTACCCAAAGCACAATTCCATTAATAAATTTCATTGTGAAGAAGGGTAGAATGGTCAAAAGTCCGTTATAAGTAAGGATAGAATAGTCAATTAACATTGATTCGTTTTTCTCTTTTTTTCCTTGCCCTAACCACATGTTTCTTTCTTCAACTGATTTGGTGTTTTAAGAAACCGTCAACCTTCCCCATCACCACCACAAGAAGCTGGCATCCCACCATCAAAACCCCACCCTTTTCCCCTCATCCGTCCAACCGCCGATTTGCACAACTATCCTTTGTTGATTTTCGGTTGATTTGGGCGAAAAAAAACTCCTTCCACCACCACCCTATGACGCATTTGCATCTCCCCTTCAAACCCATATCCTCTCCGGCCATTGCAACCCATTGTTTGTTGTTGCTGCTCAACTAGGGTTTTTTTGTGTTTTGTTGAAATTGTTTGTTGTGGGTTCGTTGTTTGTTTAAATTGAAGCTTGAGGTTGGTTTGTTTAGTTAATTGAAGTGTTTTTGCTATTGTTTTTTGCCGAAAAATCCCATCCAATCACAACCGATCACGCTTCCTTTTAGCTTGCCACCACCTGATTGTTGTTTTCCCCAACAACCTTGGGGTGAGTGGAGGCTAGCGAACAGTGAGTAATCGGCGCCAAGGTTGTTGGGGGTTTTAGAGAGAAGGTGTCGATGGTTTAAAAGGTAGTGTTAGAGGGATTTTTGGTGTCGAGAACAGCCAGAAAAGCTTGAAACGTGCAAGCGAAACCCAAGGGCGGTGGTTGGCGAACAACGAGGTGAGAAGGTCAATGGTGGTATGGGTTTTGGTGAGAGGGCTATGGGGAGTGTGATGGTGGTTGCAGGGTTGGTTAACAACGCCAGAAACAAGCGAATTTGGCTGGATAGTGGCCGCATGGGGTGTGTGTGTTTTGCACAGTCGGCTCAAATTCTCGTCAAATCAAGGATAAACTGGTGGTAGATGATTGAGAGTATGAAATGGTATTTTTGTCTTCACAATAAATATCATTGTATTTAATAAAAATTATTAACGGAAACAACATTTGGATAATAAAATTGTATTTTGAAACTTTGTGGGTGCAAAAGTGTCATTAAAGTATTATTTGGATGGTAAAAAGTCGCAACTCTTTATAACAAAAAGAGTCCAAATTTCTTAGGGTGCGTTTGTTTTATTTTCATACCCTATTCCCAAAATACTTGTTTGTTTAAATTTGAGAAATACTATCTATTTTTAATAATTTTAGTCCCCTTAAGTTTATTAATTTAATTAAACACCCCCATAAAAAGTTTAAAAATTAACAAAACACCCCCATCCACCTATAGTTGTCGGAATTGTCACAAAGGCGTAGAAATGACCGGAATGGTATATCGTTGGCCGTTGTTGACGGTCAAATCTGGCCTTTTGAGGCCATCGACGGCCATATCTGGCCGTAGATCTGGCGATGCACGACTGGCCGACGATCGATCTGGTCGTAACACCATTTTTCGGCCAGATTCTGACGGTGTCGAGCGGGCAGTCATCCGGAAGCTTAGCCTGTGGGGAGAGGATGTTTTTGTTATTTTATAAAACTTTTATATATTGGGGTGTTTAGTTAAATTAACAAACCTAAGAGGTTTTTTTTGTTAAATTTTAAATTTTACCTCATAATACTCACCTTATTCAATTACCCAATATTATTTCCAAAATCTTATTCAAAATAATAAAGCAAACGTACCCTTAAATTTCCGGGTCAGACCCGGGTAATTTAATAAAATTCTCCCGAAAGAAACCATCTTCTCCAACCTAAAACCCTGAAAACCCTCTCCCACTCTTGCAAGTCGATTAAACAACAAAGAACCATGAAATGAACACAAGCTGTTATTGGGATTAAGATAAGAGAAACAAAACAAAACAGGATCAAATGTTTGCTACGAGGAACATTCAAAAGCATTGCTTCAAGTTCAAGACCCTCTCTTGTCTTATCCAATCCAATCCTTACTATAAGTAAGTTCTTTCTTAATCATCCTCTAGCTTCTGGGTTTAGCTTTTCTCTTTCAGAATCCTTACTTAATGATGCTATTTGATTCAATGCCCTGGTAGAGATTGTTTTTGTTTGCCCTTGTTAAGTTCATGTATTATTTTCTGTAAAATTCAGCTTGTTTGAAAGAGAAGAAAGAAGAAAATAACCTAGTTTTGAATCGTATTGGACTTAAAATTGGATTTGAAGAAGAAGGAACTCATTTTTGTTCAGTTTGCATGCTTGTGTTTGCCCCGGGGTCTGAACAGGGCCTTAAAAAATTTCCCTCTTTCAAATTAGTGTGTTTTTCTTACCGTTCCTGTTTGATGAATTACAGGAATGTTGCATTATTGAAGGAAGTTTCCCCTATGTTGGTGTCATCCAATGTCATTCAACCAAGTACTTTGTTTCTTGATGATAACCCTTCCTTGTTTAAGCGATTGAGTCATCCCTTCAGTGGGTGGTCTCGTGCAATGTCGACTTCAAGAAGGGGGAGCAGCATGTCAACTTCAAGAAGAGGAAGCAGCATCCGAAGCAAGGTGGAGAGGCGATTGCAGAAGGAGTCTGGCAAAACCCAAAGAGAGATCAGGAGAGCAAAAAAAATAAAGAAGAAGCTTATGACTGATGAGGAGAGGCTTATTTATAACCTCAAAAGGGTATCTTATCTTGCCATATAAATCATTGTGATATGTATTTACTTTAATATTGATTTTCAATTCTGAATTTTGGTAGCAACAGTCGACTCCTTTCAAGAATTTTTGGAAATGCTGTTGCATACAAATTAGTTATGGATATGGTAGATCTGCTAGCAGTTGAATGTTGAAGGAATTTATTCAACCTTATTTGTTTTATATGCCCAACTTATTGTGTAACTTTAAACCCCCAAAACCCCATTTCTCTCTCAAATGACTCTGGATTTTTTATGTAAATAAAGACTCTTAATTGTCAATTTGTTATTTTCTTGTGTGCTGCTATCTTGACCAATTGCCATTTGGAATCTCCAAAGTAGTAGATGATTTCTGGTGCAATCTTCTGTTGAAAGTGCATTAATCTTCTAAATTGAAAATTTGTGTTATAATTTGGTGTAAAAAATGAATTTCGTTGATCTTGCTCCATTTGCTGATGTGTGGGTGCCATGCTTGTCTCTGCATATTTGGCACAAAATCACACACTAATATATTTCAACCATTGCTCTCTGGTATATGTGTTGTAAACTCTTGTATATTTTTAACAACCATCCAAGCAACTATTTGGTGCAGGCCAAGAAGAAAGTCGCTTTGCTGCTACAAAAGCTAAAGAAATATGAGCTACCAGAATTACCAGCCTCTCTGCATGATCCCGAGCTATTTACACCTGAGCAGATTCAAGCATATAAGAAGATAGGCTTTCGAAATAAAAATTATGTTCCTGTCGGTGTTCGTGGAGTATTTGGAGGGGTCGTCCAAAATATGCATCTCCATTGGAAGTTCCATGAGACAGTGCAAGTTTGCTGTGGTAACTTCCCCAAAGAAAAGATCAAGGAAATGGCCACCATGCTTGCAAGACTGAGTGGTGGTATTGTGATTAACATACATAATGTAAAAACAATTATCATGTTCCGTGGTAGGAACTATCGCCAGCCCAAAAGCTTGATACCTTTCAACACCCTTACAAAAAGGAAGGTTGGTAACTTAAATTCTTCCCTGTTATATTAGGTTATTCTACTTCTTTTGGGCTTTTTCCTTTTTTCATTAATCTGGCTGGTCATATGATACTTATAATTTTTTAACCTTATTCTTTGAATTGTGATTATCTGCATTTTAGCTAATTGGATGTTACAATGAATTCATCAATAGCAAATCACACATGGCTTGCAGAAATGGTTGCACCTAAAAAATAAATGGAGGCATTGTTGCACAAAATTTGCTATGATATCTAACTTAAGCACTCCATCAACAATTTGAACATAATTGAGCAAGCTCTTGAATCTTAGAAGTTAAACATAAAGTTTAAGAATTGATTTTTCGTTTTCTCATCTTTAAATGCAGGCATTGTTCAAGGCCAGGTTTGAACAAGCTCTCGAATCTCAGAAGTTAAACATAAAGAAGATAGAGCAGCAGCTCCGACGAATGGGTGTAAACCCTGAGGATCCAGTTGCCATGGCCAGCATACAAAGAGTTGCTTCAACATTCTTCAATGCAATTGACCAGAAGGAAGGAAGCCCTTATGTCTTCAGAGGAGACAAAGAGTTAGTTGGGGAACCCAAAAGGAATATAGAACATTCAGAACCTCCTGATGATAGTGACCAGGAGGAACTAGACAATTTTATAGCTGAAATAGAGGATGCAGCAGATAAAGAATGGGCTGAAGAGGAAGCAGCAGAGAATGAAGAGGCTGGTAAAATCAGGTATTGGAACAGGGAAGAATTTGGGGGAAGGTTCAGAAGATCTGAGAACCTTAGAAATGACGACCCAGATGATATCAGAGGTTGGAAGGATAAACATGGCAAGAGAAGATTTACTGGTAGTGATGATGAAGACAATGGCTATCCGGACGTTGATGATGAATGGGATTCCAATAATGTTCAAGAGGTGAATGATCTTGAGAGTGATGCTGATGAAGCTCGTAAACAGTTCACCAGACCTAGACGAGAAAGAGGGGAGCAGGAAAAGGTTGTCAGAGCTAACAGTAATAAAGGTTGGAAGAGAAATGCTGAAGCTAATCTTAATAGAAAAATGGCAGAAGAAGATTCTGAGTCAGAAAACATGTTTAGTGATCTTGAAAATGCAATGTGGCAATCTGACTCTGAGGAAGAGCATGATATAAGAGCATCAGGAGCAGATGCAAGCCCTAATTATATAAGCAACAGCGATGAAGAGGATGGGAGTGTGGAGGATGTTCGCAAGACTCATGCCAATACTCATTTCAAAAGAAATGCTGAAGCCAACTTTAGAGGAAAGATGGCCGAGAAAGATTCTGGTTCAGAAGATTTATCAAGTGAATCTGAAGTTGAAATGCTTGAATCAGACTTGGATGAAGATTCAAGAACGTCGATGGGTGGGAGATATAATTATATTAGTGGTGGCGAAGAATATTATCACCAGCCAAAAGACGAGAAGAGTGAAGTGAATCATGGACCACAGAAGTCACTAAAACAGATGGATGAAACCTGGGACAGTGATTAGATCAGTAATGCAATGCATATCATTCTTCCTTAAAAGATTGTATCATGCGAGCTGACTAACAGAAAGCAATTTTTTCGTGATCGTAAACAGCATGAAGTGAAGGTTATGTTTATCACGATTTATTGCATGTAACATTGCTCATTTTAAACGCGAACATAAAAGGTTCAGCACCACATAAACTGAGGATATTTTTGAGCAATCAATCGACGATTAAATGAAAATGTGCCATCCTCAGTATAGCATAGCTTTTCAATGATTCTTCATTGCATTTAAATTTCTAAGTGTCTTTACTTTGTTGAATGGATATCTTTTGATATGGGGGTTTATTTTGAACTGGCATGTACCAGGGGTTATGCTTCTAGTTAAAACCTGGAAAGCTGCTGGAGGGAATGCTAATTTAAAGGGATTGTGTTATAGTAATGGCTTGGTTATGTAGATGGATTTTTTTTTTGAAGGAAAAAAATAGAAAAATAAATTTCAGATTACAGTTAAATTGGGTTTACTCTGGATAATATTAGTGAACTTGCTGTGAATTTTGCTAACTCAACTATGATACACTAAAATGAAGATGGGTTTAAGGCAAGGTTCTAAAACCCGACCAGGGATGTCACCTGGCCAAGGGGCCGGGTCCGGTTTGCTACGTTCGACTGGTTTTCAGTGGTCCAGAAAGTTTGAAATCTTACAAACACACCCCTAAAAAACAAAGCAGTCCCTACAGGTTTGAAATCTATCAAATACACCCCTACATCTAACCCTAAATTGATTTTTCCAGCCAAATTTCAGCTGATTCCGGTGGCCAAAATTCAATCTGAAACCACCACCTGAACCATCGTCCTCTACTCTACAAAACTCCTATAAATCCAATACTTGTTAGCCCCCCATTCGTCGGTAGTGACTCGCAAACAACGCCACAATTAGGTTGATTTTTCCGGCCAAATTTTGGCATCCAACACCATCACTTGAACTACCGACCTCCACTTTACAAGACCCATCTAACATCGGCACTTGGTAGCCCTCCATTCATTAGCTGTGACTCGTGTATTAGGTTGATTTTTCCAGTCAAATTTCAGCGTCCAAAATTCAATCGAACACCACCCCTTGAACCATCGCCTCCACTCTACAAAAACCTTCTAACCTCGACACTTGATAACCCCTCATTCGTCGATGATCAGATTAGAAATTTGGTGAATAGTTAAAAATGGCAACTCAAACCAAAGAAGGCGTAGGTCTTGGTTGGACCGGTCCGATTTTCAGAACCTTGGTTTAAGGAAGTAAAAACAATTTATTTAATTATTTATTCTTATCCTCAATGATACGTTGCTTCATGGATATATTCTTATTTAAATAATACCTAAGTTTTTGTGTTGAATAAAAATAACAAAACCGCTCCATCTACATGGATGATTAATTAGATTTGAAAGAAAAACATTATAGAAATAAATATCCAAGTCCCTCTCAAGAAGAATAGTCCACACGTCATAGTAGAAAAGTTGATCATATTATTTAAAAATTTCTCAAGCTCTTGACCCTGCTACCTGCCACAGCCCACCAAGTCTTTTTGTTTGAATTGTCAATTGTAAACGGTGGACCAGCTTCTCGTCAACCTCCCCATCTTGCACCAATCAACACTCTACATCTTCCACTACTTATTTTAACATTTTCTCAATCCCTTTTTATTTTCTTCAAATTAAAATCAATACCCACTAACCAAATACACCTCTTTTTATGTTAGTATCATTGAAGGAATTGTCAAAACTGTTTTATTAGTAGAAAGAAAGTCGGCCTTGTGGAATAGATTTGACAGGTTGGTTTTGAATGGATGACTCCTAGGCTCCTAGCCACCATTGACAAGTTCAATATTAGCCCCTTTTTTCTTCACCCATTCATAATTTGGCTTTTAGCTGAGACTTGTTCACCATTTCAAAACAGTCAAGTTGTTAGAGTCCAAAAGGGTTTATGAATTGCTCAATCTTCTTCGGAGTAGTACAAATAATACCAAGTCTTCCAATTGCTAGACCAGATTCATAGTTCATGTGAGGATCCCCTTTAATTAAGATATCCTGTCTCACTTTTTAATAATTTGGTAGACAGATTGTTGGAAAATAGTAAAGTTAATAGCATGATTTTCTAGGGAGGTTATGAAGATGATGATAATAAAACAATGTTGTGAGTTGATCTACCATTTTGGGCACTAGTGGGGAAATGAAATCAAACTAGGGTTTGTTTCCAGAAGTTAGCTTTGTGGAGGAGTGTTTTGTGGGGAATTAATTAAATTATATTTGCTGCATCCAAACCCAACTGGGTTTTGTATCAAATTAGACAAGTCAATTGTTGGACATTTTTTACATATTTCTGTCATGATTAATTACCTTAATATGTTTAGCTTATGCATATTTGTTGTATTATTAGGTGCATGAGTGCATCAAATGAAGTCTTCTCACCTAATTTATGCTGCATATGAAATGGACAGATTGGTATATTAAAGTGTGGTGTCATTCTGGGGTTAGAAGTTGGCAGAAAGGAAAGGAATACTGTGAATTGCTTTACCTGAATGAAAAGGGGTTTTTATTAGGTAGTTTGGGGATAAAGTTAGCCCCAAAAAGATTTCTAGACAAGCATCATAAACATATGGAGATTGAGACATGCCAGCTACAATAGAGTTGGCAGTTTCTGGACACTTCTTTAGATTCTGGAATTGTAATGTCAAATCACTCAATTAATACTAAGCTTAAGGCTTAATTATGTTTAGATTCAATATTTTCATTATGAATGTGTCTTCAACTCTGTATAATAAGGGCACCATAATATTCATATGCAGACAAAGCTCATAATTAAGAGAAGAGAAAGTCCGAACAGCATGTGCCAACTGATGCTTTTAGGAAATTTCTTAACTTCCCCAGGAGGGGCAGCACCAGACGACACAAACAGCAAAGAATAGTTAAAAGAAGGTTTAAAAGGAAAAAAAAAAAATTAATGTTGACAAATCAGGGGCAGTAGGGGAATCGGTGTCCTATTGAAGATTCTTTAATATTTTGGGTGCATGGTGGGACAATCTGATTAAGTATTCCACAACTAAGTTGCACAAATTGACCTTCTTCAATAGAAAGCCATGAACCAGTAAAATCCCACCATTCTTGATCAGAGACAAGTAAAATATCTTCCCCATCATTAAGGGTTAGGACTCTCAGGAGTCTCGACTGAGTCAGTTTCAACTCACATCCACAAGTCACAAAAATTAAGTAAAAAGGTGACCATTACTTCCTATCGAGCACAAGGCATATACCGGAAAAAAGTAAAAATGAAGAGCAAAGATGAGAAGGCAACAGAAATTTAGAAAAGAACAAACAAACATGATGATGATGAAGATTCTTCCAATANAAGTTGCACAAATTGACCTTCTTCAATAGAAAGCCATGAACCAGTAAAATCCCACCATTCTTGATCAGAGACAAGTAAAATATCTTCACCATCATTAAGGGTTAGGACTCTCAGGAGTCTCGACTGAGTCAGATTCAACTCACATCCACAAGTCACAAAAATTAAGTAAAAAGGTGACCATTACTTCCTATAGAGCACAAGGCATATACCGGAAAAAAGTAAAAATGAAGAGCAAAGATGAGAAGGCAACAGAAATTTAGAAAAGAACAAACAAACATGATGATGATGAAGATTCTTCCAATATCAGAGAAAGAATAAATCCGCATCACAATTAATAAAGATCCAGAAGAAATTAGATTTACAAAACTAGGAGTTAATAAGCAACACATATTTAAGAAGAATATACGATAAAAATTAGTTTGAGAAAGCAAAACTCCCATCCTAAAAAAAGGTGGGAAACGTCATTCTACTCCAGCAATTCGGGGATTAGGCCTTACTGACAACAGGCGGTAAGCTTGCCAAAGTCATCATTCTATTCTGCTCACAACAAGCTCTCCAGTGGAAAAATTGGATAACCTCCGAAACAAAGTAAATATACAAAGTTTCCCCTCAAAATCTAAGATCCCATTAATTTATCTATAAAGAATGACCTAGATTTCATCTGATATAAGGTATGCCTGTATTGAAACCTCACTGTCGTCACAACCAGCAATAGAGCCCACTAAGGTGCAAAAGCACAATCTCTAGACTATGTACAATGTAATCACATCACCAAATAAAATATTAGCCACCTTCTCTTTTGCAGTTGCCAGGCAAGAGATATTTGTAGTCCTCGGCATTGTTCAACAAATATGCAGGAAGATTAACTGCTGAATAAGAACGAGGTACAGGACCCATCTTCCCAATAATCTCCTGAAATGTATATTCTTCAGGAAGCATGTCAAATAGGTCAGCTCCATTGCATATTACATCTTGAATCCTTTTAGGGTTCAAGTAATGAGAAAACCTCACTCGGTCATAGTGGCTGTAGGCTTTCATCTTAAATATGAAATCACTGATATGACGGAAGCAAAAGCTACAATGCCATCCTGAATCTGACAAGAGGAGATCAGTTTGACGAAAGTGTGCATACCTAGTCTTACCCGAACGATATCTATGAACTGAAGCTCTCCAGCTCTTGCTGTCTAGATAATACTCAAAGGAGTACAAGTAGTTCCTCAGCTGAAGATGGAGGATAGGTGGAATATTATCACACCATCTCAGCAGATTAATCGTGTGGGCACTAGGTATCTCATCGACATCAGACATTATCAACAAGTCATCATCTTCTATCCCAGCTATTCTAAGAAGCTGGTCCAGTGCAACTCTTTGATATGCCTCTTCAACAAACGGGTTTTCACCTTTCTTAAACCTTCCCCCAATCATCCCATAAGTCAGCCGAGGCTCCACAAATTCAAATTTCTGCCGATTGCTAGAAAAAAGCAATGGTTTGGGTAAGCCAGTGAATGTGGAGTTTGACTCAAGAAGCACGAACTGAGTAATGTAAGGATACAATTCCTTCCATCGAATTGTAAGAATATCTACTTCATTACTGAACAACACTGCATCGAAGACTCTTCTCGGGGATTCACGAATTCCCCACCCATGAAGCTTGCAAAGAGTCTCTTGAGTCACATTTTCATTATAATAGTGCGGAATCACATTGAAGGGCTGTGGCGGAGATTCCCATATTGGTCTTAGGAAGTAGGTGATTTTCTGCCCATGCAAATAGACGCTAAAAATGAATAATGGGATAAACACAAACACAAAAAGATAGGTCTTCATATCCAATCCTCGAAACATACACCGAAGCCTTGACATGGTCAATGCTCCACGAGACGTCTGCTGCATATAAAAAACCAGACTTTCTAAGACACTTGATTAATATAAGTTCAAAGCTATAGAAACCTTAAAGAAAATAGTGATATGAAACCATCTATGCAGAGTATAGAACATTATCAACAACCAAAAAGTAAAACCAATAAAGTATAATCGGAAAAGGCAATTTAAACTTCAAAAGACCCAAAGCAAGTTCACATAGCTATATGATCCTGCTAACCAAAATAAGACCAGAGCAAAAATCAATATCGACAAAATTTTGCTTCTAAGAACACAAATTGAATGCTGTAAAACTTAAGTCAAAAACTTCCCTAAACCATTTATTTCCGTAAAAAAATTTAAGACATTATCCATAAAAAAGAAAACATGAACTCAAGTGGTTTCAATGTATCAACCATAGGTTAACAAAACCAGCAACCCAAACCCCAAAAACTATTAGTTTTAACGAAACATGAACCAAAAGCCACAAAACTGAAACACAAAGAAAAAGTAAATAAAAATTAAAACCAACAATAATCTAATTTCTAAGCAATTTACAAAACCAACCTCTGTAGGCTTCGATGGTCGTCATGAAAAGTGAAAACAACCAATTTCCATCAAACCAAAAAAAAAAAAAAAAAAATAGGGGAACAGCAAGCAGTAATAATAAAGCACAAAACACGTTTTTTCAATAATTTAAAACTAAAAAAACCCCGCAAACTAGAAGCTCGAAAACAAAGCAGAAATTCAAAAAATAACCAAAAATTTTTATTAAAAAAAAAGTAAAATGAAAAAGGCAAGTACCTCTCCGCAAACGTCTTCACATATATCATCAGTTTTTTTGGAATTATAGTACCCATCGGTCATGATTAAAATATCCCCAATTCTAATCACACTACAAAACCAAAATTGAACTCCTTAATCTCCGGTAAGTAATCAACCAATCTCTGCAAAAACCACAGGGATCGTTTAAGCCACCCCTAGATCAGAACCCCCTACAAAAGACCAAATTTTCTCAGAGAAAATCCGGCAAAGAAGAAAAACCCTCCACGGAAATACAACGATCTAAAATGCCCACCACTCTCTATATTTCTCTCCCCACAAACACACTTTGTAACGCTAATTATAGCCGTTTGGTTGTTTTCGCTCTTTCACCACATAACTCCTTTTCCCGAAATTTAGAAAACAAAACTCTCTCACACAAAATTTATAATAAAAATATCTCACAAATATTTCTTTTAAAAGAATTGTTTTCATGATCTAACGTTGAGGATGACGCCACGTGTGTTTTAGAAGACTTTAAGGAAACCAGTGCTAATCTGTCGTTGATTAAATGCAGTTAATCTACATATGACAACGAGCCGTTTTGTGTGGTTTCACCGGCGTACGTTAAAATTCTTCTTTGTAAACCAGTGAATTACCATAATGGGGTTAAACTGTTGGATGTTGAAGTAGATAGTTGAGGGTTATTTTTGTCAAACAATTGACGATTTTTCTCCCACGCGCAGTTTGACCTGGTCTTGCTACTTTTCTTTTGTTTTCTGCCTCTGTAAATACATGGTCGTTTGTTATACCGATAAATAGTTAAATACTTTTAACACTTTTTATTTATTTCTCCAATCACAACATTTTCAAATAATCTATTTTTAGATAATTTAAAGTTAATATTATTTTTTTGGTTGTATTAAAAGATAATCATATTTGCATTAGTACACCCAAAAAAGACTTTAGTTTAACTACAAAGTTCCTTTTTGTTGAGACGGTTTGAAATTGGTAAGAAGATTAAGAATAATAGCTTTATGGGTAAGTATCCAAATAGAACAGCAATTCAACTTTTTTTTTTTTTTTTTAATCAGGCTGTCATTCATTTTTTTTTTCTTTTTATATTCGGGATATTCTGATCAGTTTATGGACAGTTCAATTAATTTTTAAAATCTATTAAATATTTTATAAGTTAAAATAACCAAGTAAATAATAATATTATTATTGTAGTATATGACTCAAAGGTTATAACCCACCCAAAAACTTAAAGAAAATTAATAAAACTCTCGTATCGTCAAATCAACCCTTGAGATTAGCCATTCATCTTCTTAAATAATTAGAAGTCAATTTATAATAAATCGTGATAATTAGTTAATGACCTCGATCCATTAAAAACAAAAAGAATGTAGACGTCCCATTCCCGTATACATAAAGTAATTGAAAATTGAATTGAGGAGAAATATTCTGTGGAATGACATGCCATGTGTCGACCAAACATGCCTTCCCTATTTGATTTGATTTTATATAAAACGAGAGAGAACCTTTGATAACTAAACTCCACATGTAATGTTAAGAATCTTCATTTCTTTATTCTACTTTGCGAACCCAATTGCCCAATGTTTTGGACCTAGTTTTAATTATTCTTTTTTAATCCATCATTATTATATTAATTAATTCTCCTCTCATTTAAACGTATAAACCTATATCACCAAATCCTTTAAAGATTGAATTTTGAAAAGGGGAAAAAGATTCAAATTCTTCTTCTTCTTCATATTCTTTTTAAATTTTGATGTGAAGTTTAATCTATGTGGTTATATATGTGTGTGTGTCAATGTATGTGTGTGGTAAATTAGTAGGGTATGGATTCTCGACACATGTTCTACGACTAAATAGATTGAAGCACGTACTCTCGTTATGTGCTCTATGATTATGCATTTGTCCAGGTCGTATGACAAAGATAGAAGGAATTATTTTACATGTAAAGTTGTTAAAGACGGCTACAATAGTAAGGAACATAATCGAATTGCCAGCCATATCGCATAGCATTTTATAAGAGGATTGTTTCACTGTTAAGTCTCTATTAAAAGTGTTTTGTTAGACCATGTGTCTAATGATGTGAGGTTACTTCACGTGTAAAACCACTCGGGCAATAGTATAAATAGGAGTCTCCCACCCCAAATCAAGGATCCAAGATTTTTATTCTCTCAAATCTCAATAGCTAAGAGCAATTGTCTTTCTCGAGAGCAAATAGTTTTTTATAAACACATCAATAATATAACGTAAACGTAAGATTTACACATTACATCCGAATCACTTTGAAAACTGTTATTATCTATCATCTTTATTTATTTACTTGCATTATTATTATTATTATTATTATTGCTCATTGGTGTAGCATCATATTTCACAATCTCACGTAGATCTTTGTGCAAACTCTCTTAAAAGCGCACTTCTTCCAATTCTTGGTGCATAAAATCATAACGTGTGTGTATATATATATATATTAATTTTTAATATGATTTGATACTATTAATTTTAAGTAGTATCGCAATTTTTTTCTTCAAATTATATTTTAAAGAAATATATTATAAAAATTAAGAAATGTGCTTTAAGGGAATTGATTTAAAAAATTAGAAATATTTTTTTAAAAATGATATAAAACATTACAGCTGTACTGTAGGTGAAGCCTGTGGGGTGAGGTCACGTGCATGTTTTTGCCTTTTAATTGATGTAACATTAAAATTTTCTATTTGATTTATTGTCTTAAAAAAATGTCTCAAGATTTTATAATTAGGTGTTTAAACAATGATTGATTATGGAGTGATTAAATTATTAAAACCGTTTACTTGACAATAATTTGATTCTCCACAACGTGATAACTTATCATCTTTTCTTATACCATTCAATTTTTAATTTCAATTATATTATCAAATCTTTATTTAATTGGAAATCAAATTGATATAAAAAAGTTGACTTAATAATTTCCTCTCTCTACATAATAAAATACGTACAGTATTTCAAAATTATTCATAATCATATATAACAATTTATTTATATGTCCACTTGTATTAATAACACAACTCCATAATTAATCAATAATCAACCTAAATGGCCACTCCCCTATATTTAGCTTTACTTTTCTAATATTTATTCATGTAAGAGTTTATAATATATAAGAAAAAACACAAGAGTGTGAATAATTAACCTAAGTGGTCACTCACTTATTTAATTTTTTTTTTTATTTTGGGATTTTCTAATATCATTTTCATGTGTATTTATTTTTTAATTACTAAATTTATATTATTTTATATATTAAAGTTAAATCACAAAATCCAAAACGACAGGGTAGGAAAGAAAGCAAGTGTGAGAAGGCAGCTTCCTAGAAGCTTCGAGTGTGAATAAATAGAAAGGCTTTTTGGTTTTAGGGAAAAAACCAACAATACTTGTGAGAAAGGATTTTCTTAAAGCATATTCTCTGTGGAATGATTTATAATTTAATTTTTCTCTTCTTTTGGAAAATAGATATATTATCTTGAACAAATAGTTAATAATAAATGCATAAAAAATATGTGACTATTTATTTTTTAAAATTTTGAGTTATTTTGGGTAAGTATTTTATGAGGTGTGTGATTTATGATTTCAAAAGAATTTTTAAAATCTAATAATAGAATTTGGGTTGCGTCCTACTTTGGTAAAAGGTGATTCACCATATACTATTTGTAAGATTTGCTAAAATTGGGGGGTTCTATATAATTTTAAGTTGGGTTGAAATCTCTTTTCCAAATATTTATCAAACTATTTCACAATACAATACTGGAGAGGGTAACGTAACCGGATGATTATGTAACTTGATAACTTTGATAGTTAACGTGAGTGATGAAATTGGTTGAGCTGAAATGCGGGAAATCTCACCTAGATGCTCAAACTCTTGTCAAAATTTGGGAGTCGTCCACCAAACTGATAAGAGAGTCTTCGTCCTCTTCTTTTTGTTCTTCCCATTCAGACTCCTGTCAAGACTCAAGACTTCGACTCCCTTCATTTACATATACGTTTTCAAAAATTTATTTGCTTTAATATTTCTTCTATTTCCTTACATCCACTGGTTATCTAATCACAATTTATAAGATATTTTTTGTCAGCCTTGACAAGAATATTTTTTAACAATAATTAACTTTGTCGTGTTCAATACACTTGAATAGTTGCTAAGAGCATAACGTTTAACTGTTTGGGAGCATTTGGTGTCCGTAATGTTTTATTACTGAAAATATAGGATTACCTTGAAGATTAAGGGGATTGTTATATTATATATGTTTGGTTAGATTAGTTTATATAAATAATTAATATGTTTGGTTGGGGGAATAAAATAATTATGGGAGAGCCTTTTACTAAATTGCCACTATTTTATTATTTACATTATTATTTTTAACAATCTACATTTGAAAGTTTAGCTAAAACATCACAACCACAATAAAAGTTTAAAATAACAAAATACCTCCAGCTGTCTAAGAAGGTTGTCGGTTGCCGTCGTACGTCGATTTGGTCACTTCTGGCCATATCCATGGCTATAAACGTTCATATCAATGGATCTGGCCCTTTACAAATCGGTTCACGATCAACCAAATTTGGCCAGTCATGCACCGTTTCGATGACTGCCGGCGGTGGTGGTTGACGGCCGACAATAGTCTTGGGTGGCTAGGGTGTTTTTGGTGGTATTCATGTAAATAGTTTTCAAAAATAAGGGCATTATTGTCCACAAATTTAATTAATCATGGGTAAAATGGTAAAAATTAAGATTAATTTATGTAAAATGAGGGACATTTTTGTCCAAAAAAAAAATTTATGAGATTACAAAAGTCATTTTACACAATTGGGTTAATTGTTATTTGATAGACACGAGGACATTTGTGTTTGAAATGTTAATTAATTAAGGATAAAATGGGAACAAAAATTAAATTACCCAGTAATCTTAAAATACCATTATTTCAATTGGTAATCAGATTACTCGCAAAATTATCTACAGTAATCACTGTTAGTATTAGAAAATTACTGAAATCTTTTATTACCTAAAAACAAAACAACGTAATGTTGGATTAAAAAATAAATTACCAAAGTAATTTTTCATTACTACTAACCAAACAGCCCCTTTAAGTATTCAATATTCATGTTGTCATCAAGTATGTTAAATATCGTTGTTTACTCATGAAAATGATTTTTTTTTTTTCTTGATAAGAATTGTATTCGTTCACATCCACTTAATTTCTAATCACAATTTATAGGATATTTGGAAAATATATAATTCAAATCAATATTTTTTGTATTATTAATCGACTTTTGCATATTCAAACAAAATTACCTTTCAACGATAACTAATTTTGACGTGTTCGATAGACTTGATAATAACATCATTGTTAACAGCTATAAAACTCCAATAACTCCATAATCATGTCACT